AGCGTGGGAACCCGTAGTCACAGACTCGTAAGACTCGTAAGGGTGATTAAAATAATTATGACGTCAGGTTTGAATAGCGCGAATCTTAATGTAGGTCAACGTGGCGAGCGCTATGCGGAATCAGGAGTTGATACAGTTATAATTTATATCGATATTCGTAAAATTGTTTCCCTGACGAAAGGAACCCGCGTTACTTTCTTGACATTTATGCTGGATCACCGTCAGCGTTGTTTGGGAGTCTGCTGCCATGTTCAATTTTCAAGTGCAATTTAAATAATAAAGCATTCTATAAATGTTTTTCTTGCACACCAGCTGGCCGCACGCGAGGCTCTTACCGTCTCCCGTCTGGTGAAGCCAGACACTGTGAAAGGAAGAAAGAAACGAAACTTTAAAAAAAAAAGACACTAGCGCCTCGAAGTGGCAACATTATTTTCAGGTTTTTGCAGCAAATCTTGAATTTGTCTGACAATTTGCGTGCTAAAACTGTGATCACAGGAAAACGGACAGGATTTAATGATGATATTAAAATGAACAGCTGTAACTATCTTTTGTCGCATTATCTATTAATTTATATTAGAATGACTCTAAGCTTGGGCACAGTTCATGGTACGATCCCTAAACTAACCATTACCGCGCCGTTCGCTCCAGTTTTTTCCTTTTGCTGCGTGCCGTGTGACCCCGATGTGGGAAAGTGAACTCTGTGTGGTGCAGATGCGTTGCCTGGTGCGCGCCGCCAGCACTCGCTACGCAAACGCCGCTTCCTAAAGCCGCGCCGCCTGCGGCCGGCAGGAGTGCGACTGGGAGGGGGCACGCGCGGCGCAGCGCGGGAGCCGAGGTGACCGTGGAAGAAAGTCCCCGCCGCCGCGCCCCGCGGGGCCCCGCTAACCGGTCCAGCCCCAGGCCCCCGCCGCCCCAGAGCAGCGCGTCAATTTATGGCGGGTTGAGCGCTGGCTAAAGGGCATGGCGCCCCCGCGCAAACAAGCGCAACTGTTATACAGGGTGGTCTTGCAGCCTGCCTGCGCGGCATTACAGTCAGGAACGTCCAGAACGTATGTCTGTTTTTCTCAGATTCGTTAGGCAAATGACGGAAGCTTGGCGCCTGCGAGACTCGGGGTAGGCCACCCCGCAGTACACGCATACACGCGGGGGAGATTTTGCCTACCGACCAGGCGCTATGAGAGCTTGGAGATGAGCATGTCCAGGGACATATTGTAAGGCCTACGGGCAGCAGCACACCGACACCAACCCATGTAAAAGTCAAAATGTAACAACTTGACGTCAATTAAACCATTTCAAAACCTGAAAAAAAAAAAAAAAAAAAAAAACGGACTTGTCTGGTTGCTAACGGCGAATGAAAGACGTACTTTCTGGATGATCGACTGTCCGCAATCTAGATGTCTATGAATGTTGCTTTTTTTACAACACGTGTTGTTAATAATCAGCATTTATTTCTAACAAACTTAACTGAACTTTTGTTGTAATTTTACAACTTTTTTTAACAGTGTATATTATGAAGGTTCAAAGTTCGACGAAGCTGACGATGTTCTTTGTAAGACTTTTAGATTACAGTCTGAAAATTTCTAAATATCGTAGCCTTTTTGGGGGAGCGAGTATAAAATGAAATACCTTAAAGATTGAGGGAGTGAGGGACGCAGATCCTCTCAACAGGCGCCGCTAATGTCTGGGACGGATGCCAGCGGAAGGTCCGAGACGGCGGGGATGGCCTGTCTCGTCGCGGCCGTGTGAGGGATGGTGAGCTCCTTTGTGCCAACGTGTCCCACGAGAAGTGACGTCACGAACGCGATGATGTCTGTTGCCTCAGCCGGGAAGAGAGGGCGCGGCGGCGACAAAATCAAGGACCTCGTTGAAATAACTTAACCAACAGGATAAAATTTGACATGCGTGACGGCTTCAATGGCGATAAGGAATCTGCAACACTACACCCCAAAATGGTATCCTTGAAGCAATGGAAAACGCCTTAAAACATCAAAAGGAAATTTTCCATAGAACAAGGATATTATTGTTGGAACAGATTAAAACAAAATAGAGCGAGGAAAGGGGGCATGCCCGGCAGAGCTTTCTTTTTGTTAGAGACAGTCTTGAGGACTGTCTAAAAATTATCGTTAGTGAAGAAATTTCCTTAAAAACAAAAGGAATGCCTTAAACCAAGGAAAAACTTTATTATACTGTTTTAATGAATTTTCGTTGGTATAAAGATACTATTTTCTGGGTGCAGGGAAAGGGGTTTCGCGATTATTTCTATTCACAAAGGTTACAATTGAGTTTAAGAAATATAAAAATCCTATCTGCTTTAGTCATTTGGATTCTTACTCATCTCACATCTCATTTATTTTAGTTTTTAAAATACAATTTTTAGTTTGTTTGTGTACAGAGTTATCAGTGAATGTTGTCAATGTAATTGCGCCATGAAGATGATCATTAATTATTTCAATAATTTCCTCGTCTTCCGAAAAGCGGCGGTAATGCTGGGCGGCACTGAGACTCCCTCCCTGCCAGCACGGCTCCTGCTCCTGCCGGCAGATGTAATATTAGATTCGGCCGTGTAATGAGAAAGCAGAGGACGCTGCAGAGCTGCGGTGAAATTCAGTGGGATACTCAGCGGGGCATCGCGCTTCTGGGCTGGACACGATCGCAGTCGCAGTGGAGTGGGCGAGAAAAAAAACAACCAACTTGCAAGCTTACTACAAATTGCTGCTTACAAAGAAACATACACACTAAAATCTTATGAACATTTTTGTTCATAGTTACTGATTTCTGTAAACATGCTCGGCTTACGCATTTTTTAATGCGCCTGTATGAAGAAATTTGTTCATACTGGCGTATTAAAAAATGCGTAAGCCGAGCATGTTTACAGAAATCAGTAACTATGAACAAAAAAGTTCATAAGATTTTAGTGTGTAGGGGAATCATTGAGACCTTCTGCGCCGCATCAGTTAACTGCAAACTTTTGAGTGAGGTGTCGTGCCTCTGAAGGAGAAAAATATTGCGGACCTTGCTCAATTGCATTGAGGAACCTCACATTAGGTGAGGACCGTAAATTATGACCCAAATTGATTGAAAAATAATCTCACCCTTGTTGTAGTCTAATCGTAAGTATTAATACTTCTGACGGTCAGACGTTAATAATTTTTGGCAACGAAGAAAACCTGTAATCTCTCCCAAAAATAAAAAAAAATATCCTTGAGCACTCCTTAAAAGGTGCTAAGTAGCACCTGTGTTATTCTAGAGAAGCAGTTGAAAGCGTTTTGTAGCTTCGCATTGTTACGGATCGGCCAATTACGCAACCGAACAGCAGCGCTTCGTGGAAACGATGCTATATAGTGGTATCGACATGAGGGCAGACAGCACAAAGGAATGTGCAGGCCTCGCCTCTGCTGTGCCGATATCGTTTAAACGCTCCAATTATTCGCAGATGACAGACGGGTCCCCAATGCCCA